GCGTTGGATGCCCGTGGTCCCGGCACCTCCCCCCCCCTGCACGCTACTGGCTGTAGTCTGTGTGAAAATAATTTTTCATTATGGAACTTGTAGTGAACTTAAAGCAAATGCTGAATTTATTCAGTTAACAGAATAATGCTTCAGAATTGTCCATATACATGTACAGAAAGCAAAACCTTTTACACATTTTGGGGGTAAAATAAATATTTGCTCTAAATAATCCGATCATTTGAATAGCAGAATATTTTATAAATGCTTTTAATATAATTAAATGATTTATCAAACACAACAGTTAACCAATCTTTACTTTGTAAATTTAACAAAAGTCCTACATAACCTCGAGGTGATAATTCACCTGCTGTTAATCAATCTTTACTTTGTAAATTTAACAAAACTACTGCATAACCTCATGGTGATAACTCACCTGCTGTTAACGAATCTTTACTTTGTAAATTTAACAAAACTCCTACATAACCTCATGGTGATAATTCACCTGCTGTTAACCAATCTTTACTTTGTAAATTCAACAAAACTCCTACATAACCTCAAGGTGATAATTCACCTGCTGTTAACCAATCTTTACTTTGTAAATACAACAAAACTACTACATAACCTCAAGTTGATAATTCACCTGCTGTTAACGAATCTTTACTTTGTAAATTTAACAAACTCCTACATAACCTCATGGTGATAATTCACCTGCTGTTAATCAATCTTTACTTTGTAAATTTAACAAAACTACTGCATAACCTCATGGTGATAACTCACCTGCTGTTAACGAATCTTTACTTTGTAAATTTAACAAAACTACTGCATAATCTCATGGTGATAATTCACCTGCTGTTAACCAATCTTTACTCTGTAAATTTAACAAAACTCCCACTGTTATATCCTGTTTTCGTATCAGAACTATTCAGTGTATAAAATAGTCATTTTGCCATTACCGTTATTACATCTATATTTTGGAATATCGAGGAATGATCCAGTCAAAAACCTCTCATACAAATCCTTTTAAAAAACTATATAAAATTGTCTCGGGAACTTTCAGTAAACCAAAGTAAATATTATTTTAATCCTCATCTGCAACAATATATATATTGATTTTATGTTACTTGCTTTGTCGAAAAATATGACGGAGCCTAACTCTTAATTTCCACCTAAGTGATATAAGTTTTTGTATTATTAAAAAAATGTATATGTGTAGAACTTTGGTTAAAATGACTATTTACTACTCTGAAGTGTCATTCTCCCATTTGGTTTTAATGTCTTTATATTTGGATATGTCAACATGGTGCAATTGAGATTGTAAATGTTGGCCATTCACCAGTGATACTGAAAAAAAAACTTGATTGTTATTTTTTCTATTACCTTTACTGACTTAAAAATACTAGAATTGAACATTTTTTTTTCATCTTTAATATTTCTCAATTACAAATTATAAGTAAAACAAAATAATAACACAGTTACAAATGTTTCATCTGAGTTTACAAATCTGATTGTGTTTTTAGCTGCTAAGTGTTAAACCACAGTAACTTCTTAACCACTGATTTCAGAACTGCAATTGAGGGTGATTAATGTTATTTGATGAGCATATTCATATAAACTAACATATAAAATTTGGTAATAAACTTAAAATAAGACCCAAAACTCGAGTGCTTTCGAATAGTTGACTATTCTTCTTTGTTCTCTTGGGTCTTATTTTAAGTTTATTACACTTTATATGTGATCCTTTGTGCTAACTCTTTTATCAAGATATAAAATTTGGTTGTAACTTACAAATAATTTTCATTGAAGATTTGTACATGAATGATATTTTAAAATTATTCTCTAGCTACCTGATGATGACAAAACCTTGTCGAAACGTTGTACATTTGCTGTTATGTTAAACTTATATTAAAGTTTTTCCTCATTACCCATTCAAGCCGTCTCCAAGCATTATTAGTCTCTAGCTATGGTTGCAACAAAAAAGCTTTTGTCCAAAATTGTAGTTTGAGGTTGAGACCTTTTTCAAAATTTGTAAAATTTTTAAGACTGATCCCTGAGAGTGATCAGTTTTATTTTATAAGATGTAGACTGATTTCTGAGAGTAATAAATTTTATTTTCAGCCACACTGAGAATCACAGTACTTGTTTTACAGTATAGAGTAGTATGGTGTGATGTTTGAGGGTGTTTCTTCTACACGTACTCCTAATTTAATTTTTAAATTACATAAATCAGATCACTACAGCTAGTGAAAAGTAAGAGAGGATATCATTTACTTCCCCTATTTTTTAGTGTAAGATATACTTCTGAGGCTACCCAGCTTTTCAGCTAGAGTTATCAGTCAGTTTTTTTTTTTCATGTGGAAGTGGTGTAACTTGAAATACAATACGTAATTGTTCGTATTGAATAACTTGAAACTTCAGTTCTCAGTTGGTCATGGTATTGATTTTGTTATTCAATATGAACAAATGTTCATCATATTCCAAACATGATATTACACATGATGGATCAAAAGTTCTTTTATTTGTGTTTTATTGTGAACAAACAAAAAGTGTCTACAATTATGGATCAGGTTGGTTTTAACCATTGCAATTACCTTATAGTGAGATTATTCTGTGGTAATTAAGTTTTGGTTTACTTTGAATCAGCTTTCTTGGTATTTGTTGGTAACCAACCTGAATATTCTTCCTTGGTATTTGTTGGTAACCAACCTGAATATTCTTCCTTGGTATTTGATGGTAACCAACCTGAATCATCTTTCTTTTGGTGGTAACTAATTTAAATCATATTTCTTTGTGTGTATGATGGTAACCAACCTGAATCATCTTTCTTGGTACTTGATGGTAACTAATTTAAATCATATTTCTTTGTGTGTGATGGTAACCAACCTGAATCATATTTCTTTGTGTGTGATGGTAACCAACCTGAATCATCTTTCTCTTGGTGGTAACTAATTTAAATCATATTTCTTTGTGTGTGATGGTAACCAACCTGAATCATATTTCTTTGTGTGTGATGGTAACCACCTGGATCATCTTTCTCTTGATGGTAACTAATTTAAATCATATTTCCATCTTTCTTGGTACTTGATGGTAACTAATTTAAATCATATTTCTTTGTGTGTGATGGTAACCAACCCGAATCATCTTTCTTGGTACTTGATGGTAACTAATTTAAATCATATTTCTTTGTGTGTGATGGTAACCAACCTGAATCATCTTTCTCTTGGTGGTAACTAATTTAAATCATATTTCTTTGTGTGTGTGATGGTAACTAACCTGAATCATCTTTCTTGGTACATGATGGTAATCAATCTGAATCATCTTTCTTGATATTTGATGGTAACCAACTTAAATCATTTTTCTTGGTATTTGATGATAGTGAACCTTGTTGAAATGACTTCATGTTGAAGTTGCTTGAAGACAGTTCCATTTATATTTATTTGCAAAGTTTCAGTTACAAGTAGATTCAGCTTTAATTTATCCTGATTGGTACATTCCAAAAATCAGTTTTGATGTTAGTTAAACTAATTGGATATCGCATCTAATCCAAACCACTCTGAAATAGTGTGATTGTTAATATAATTTAGTAGAAATCACTTTACATTTATGATGATGGATTGAAGTAGATGTACAAAGTTCTCATATGTTATTGAAGACATTAATCAATATGTTTAGTTAACACCATATGAGACTTGCTTCTGTATATTCTGCTTGACAAGATTCAACCAAAATCCTTTTACAGGGATACAAGAAATTAAAAGAGCCAGAATTTTTCAAAACTTAAATATGCCCCAATATTTTTAGTGCAAGAATCGTAAAGTGCAGTATTTACAGCACTGTCTATTGTAAACAATATAATAATAATAATAATACTTATAAAACTTTAATATTATAAAAATATAATAATAATAAAATACTTACAAAACTTTAATATTATAAAACTTCGTAAAAGATTAAACCAAACTGATTTTGTGGAAGTGACAAATTGCAATACCTATCTGACTTTTTCAATTATAATCATAGTTTTGATGGAAAAAGAATAATTCATACACTTTGAAGCCTGAAAGTAAAAAAAAAGACTTGTAAACTAACCCTTGTTGCTGGCTACAAATATTGGCATTTGGCAGTATTTAATATGTTGGATTTACTACACTGCTCTTGTTTCAAGGGATAAGAATGAAGCTGAGGAAAGTATTTTTAATGTGAGAAATTACTGGAAATGCCTTTAGGTTCTGCCTTTGAGTTCCATGATTTCTTTCCATTTCATAAGTGAGCATCAGATGTAAGGAGGAGAATGAGGGGTATTGAATATGTTCTTATACTGGTTAATAATTCCAGTAATCTCATTTGTGTGGCTTTAAAGGTTGTATTTTTAAACCAATAAATTAATTTCATTAGTCGTATTTAATTAATAAAAGTAATACACCATTTAAACAACAGTTATTTATTATTGCAGAAACACTTTACTACATATTTTGGTCACATTCAACCTGATGATGGCTGGAACAAATGTCTGGAAAACATAAAAAATATATCTCTGTTTTTTTTAGTAATGAATTATTGAAGTGTATCATTTTTATCAATAAATTTATGTTCATATACTACTTAGTATTTCTGTAAGAGACACTTTTATTTTACCCAAGTGAGAAGTTTGATATTTTTTTATTTTGTAATCCAGTATGTACTCCGTATTACATACATAATTATCTATCTCCAGGTACAACGTATGCATTTTTGCATACGGCCAAACAGGAGCTGGAAAAAGCTTTACCATGATGGGTAAACAAGAAGAGGGACAAGAAGGAATAATTCCCCACATCTGTAAAGATCTATTCAACAGAATAAAGAATTCAGATGTAGACATGATGTATTCAGTGGAAGTAAGTGTTAGAATCTACATAGATAGTTGGTTTGTAATCTAATGTAATAATCTTCTTTGTTTTATGTTAGAATTGTATGCCATAATTATGTAAAAACTATTGTGTTGAATAAGATATTCATGAGTGTGTAATAACAAACTAATTATATGGAGGTTTTAAAACAATTGTAAGTGATTGAAATACTTGTTAGTTTTATTAAAATTGTGTTTATCTCGTGTTTAGATTTGGAAGATTGAATTTGGTCAAGTATATTCATGTAGCAGCATTAGGTTGCCTAATTGCCGGTTTTGTTAACTCAAAGAAAACGGTAGTTGCTTGTATAGTTGTGGTAGAATAATTTAATTATTACTCTTGCTCAGTCACCGTAATGGTCTTTCAAAATTCAATGTATACCTGTTTTAATTTAATGACGTTCATATTGGTAGTAGAAGAATCCCTTACTTGGATTTTCTGTTGTAAGCGTGAACTCGCTAGTTTCATTGTGGTTCTAAGAGTGCCCTGAAAGTTTGGTGTTTTATAGAAAAATAAATCTTAATTTATAATATTTTCTAACATGTTTAATTTCATGCCATTTTTTTTCTCTGTTTTTATGTTATGGTTTTTATTTCAAACTGGCTTTGTAATGTATAGTCTATTGCACAATTTAGCATCATTTAATCCATAACTACTTATTGCATGTGATAAAAAAAAAGAGGTTTGTATTGATTACAAAATTTACAAAATTACCAAAACAAAGAGTCTTTATCATCATTTAAACCTAGTTGATTTTCTTTAAAATTTGTGCTTAAGAAATTTCCAGTTGCTTTACCCTAGAGTATTTTACTTTTATTATTTTTTTGTTTCACCCGTGCAGGTTAGTTACATGGAAATATACTGTGAACGTGTTCGAGATCTGCTTAATCCTAAAAATAAAAATAATTTACGAGTAAGGGAACACCCTGCCCTTGGACCGTATGTTGAAGATCTTTCCAAACTTGCCGTTACCTCTTACGAAGATATTAATCAACTCATGGATGAAGGCAACAAAGCCAGGTAAACTACTTTATTATCTATTGTGCTCTAAAATGGATAAAGTTAAGCCTACTTTTTCATATTCTTAGTATGTGTTTATAATAATTGTTTGACTTTGACCCCAGGATTTTCGAAGCCAACACTTTTGTTAACAGCCATGGCAAGTATAAACTTGATTGAGAGGAGAACTATTTTTTGTAGAAAAATAATCCCTTTATTTTAAAATAGAACCATGATTGAGATGAGTAGTATTTTTGTAGAAAGTAACCTTTTTTGTTTTTTCCCCCAATAAAGAACTGTAGCAGCTACAAACATGAATGAAACCAGTAGTCGCTCACATGCAGTTTTCACAATCATTTTCACACAGAGAAGACAGGACAAGGGCACAGGATTGGTTGCAGAAAAGGTAATGTATCTCTGCTATCAAACAAAAAATTTTCTAAACTTGTATAACTATTTAACAAGGTAGGTTTCACAAGTAGCAGACTATTGGACCAGATGTTGTTTATAAATCTTTTAGAGACAAAAGAACTAGATTCTTATGTATGTATATTTCTCATGCAAAGCTCATACTGATCTTGATTCAAATTAAGTCCTGGTTTCTCTGTAAAGATGAATTATGATGCAGATTGTTTTTACAGGCCAGATTATGTTTAGTACTGATTATCCCCATTGTACATACTCAGTTATTCTGATACATAGATTAATTGAAAGCACAAGTTTATTATGAAGTTTGCGTTTTGTTGTGGTCTTCATCTTATTGCTCATTGTATAAAATATATTTACATTTTAGGTCAGCAAAATTAGCCTCGTTGACTTGGCAGGAAGCGAAAGGGCAGATTCTACAGGTGCACAAGGTACAAGATTAAAAGAAGGAGCAAATATCAACAAATCACTCACTACCCTTGGAAAAGTAATCTCTGGATTGGCTGAAGTTGTAAGTTAAGACCATTTTGTTAAGCGTGGTAACACAAAGATTGCGTAAACAAATATGTAATATATTAAACCACTCCCTTTGACGCATATCAGTAATTTTCCAGAAACTGTTTATTTCTTTATTCATTAATATTGTGTTTTTCTCACGTCCAGAAAAGTTGGTTCTTACAGCATGAAAATTTTTGTTTAATTTTGATTGGACTAAAAATTTAGTTAGTGAACAAACTGGTTTTTGATTTAAATTAAAACAACCAGTACAAATTGTTCTTTTTGTTGGGCTGTATTATGTCATAACTTGCTGGACAGCTAATAGTTGTCAGTATCTAATTTTCCAAATATATTAAGACTATTCATTGTCAAGTAATATTTAGACAGATATGTTTTAGTATGCTATAAATTTGTTATTAAAATTATGGCTGTATGTATTATTTGTATGTATCTTGTTATAAAGAAGGTATTATATATAACATAACACTATCAGTTTAGCTTGACAACACCATCAGATACATTTGAGCTACTTATTTTTATTAAAAATGACCATTAGATTTCCATTGAAAATCCCATGTATATGGGACTGAAATGCCGGTAATACAGTGTGTATTAAACTTTTATTTGCTAACAAAAATTATTGTTTTGATCTGTGTTTTATGTAGATGTAATGCTTCCATGACTTAATTGTTTAGTTGTTGTTTGAATAAAACTAATACCACTTATTTTTTCATTAGTACAGTAACTTTTAAGGTTTGGAGTATGTTTATCTAAATGTGTATTATTGACTTATTACTGATATTCAGTATTCAATTAAAAAACATTATTGAAACTAGTTTTTATTTCCAATGTATTTTTAGTATTCAACAGTATTATATATTAACTTCTAATCTTCTCTGTTTTTTTTTCCCTTCTTGTTGCATTCCTAACATCCTACCCAACTAGGCAGTAAGTAGAATCCTGCATGGATAAATAAAAGTGATTTAATAAACTTATTTTTTTTTTCCTTTAATTTAGAACATTTATTCAGAAACAGAAGTTCTTACACTTAATGTTGTAATTAGTCAATCATTTATTTAAAAAAAACTGTAGAAGATTTATTGTTACAGTGGTTCAAAACATATATTTTTATTTTTCAATTATCACAAATAATGTATGCTTAAATTTATCGTTGTTAAATTGCAGTACTGTGGTCTCGTAATTACTATGTTTTTGTGCCATACCAAAATATTTTTAATTAATTCTAAAATACAATTAAAAAAGAATAAAATAAATTATTGTAAAGTATAAGCATAAAGGCTAAGGCATTGTCTTATGATTGAATCCAGGGTTCCCATTCTACCTTGGCCTGCACATCAATATGTGTGCTGTGACAAGGCCTCCATGCGTCTGGTATGGGGTTAGGGGACCCTAGGATATTAGCTAGTGCTATTATTCCTCTAGTGTGAATTTTTACCTTTGATTGTGAACTATGTTGATTTAATGATGTTCATTTATTTTTTTATAATTGTTATCAGAACTCAGATTCTTATGACTTGAACATGGAACAGAATTATCACACTTTGTATCTGTTATGTTTTATTTTATAAAAGAAACTTCGTTATCAGCTCAGACTTCTTTTATGTACTTAACTTTCAGGCAACGAAAAAGAAGAAAAAGCAAGATTTCATCCCCTATAGAGATTCAGTATTAACCTGGCTTCTTCGGGAAAACTTAGGTGAGTTAAAAACTGTTTACTAGACACTAAAATACATTACTCTTTCTTTCCAGTCTAACATTTCATTGATAAGTTTTCCATCTATTTTACTGACTGCAACTTGGATATTCCTTCTCATTAAAACCAGATATTTTATCAAAATACATATTTTTAATAAGCCATTCAAAGTACAGATGATGACATTACAAGCATAAGATTAAACTTAAGATTATGCTCTTTAGGTTTTTTTTCAGTTGCTTGCAGGTACCTCTCTTAGAAATGATAACTTAGACATAAATTAGAATTTATCATCACAATACAAGACTTAAAAAAAAGAAAAAAAAGCTCGGCGTGGTCAGGGCGCTTGACTCACAATCTGAGGGTTGCGGGTTTGAATCCTCATCCCACCAAACACGTTTGCACTTTCAGCTATGGGTGCATTATAATGTGAAGGTCAATTCCACTATTCATTGGTAAAAGAGTAGCCCAAGAGTTGGCAGTGGGTGGTGATGACTAGCTGCCTTCCTTCTAGTTCTTACACTGCTAAATTAGGGATGGCTAGCGCAGATAACCCTTGTGTAGCTTTGTGCGAAATTCAAATTAGAAAAAATAACTAAAAATTAAAAAAAGAAGTTTCATCATTAATATCAGAATTTGTATGTCAGTTGCTGTTAATCCTGTTTGATCATTTTTCAGTATTGAGAAAACTCTTTGTAGTTTTTTCAATGCGTTAATTCAAGGCTAATGTATAGTTTAAAGATTGGAATCTGTCTATAACTTGACCATTTCTAACTTATTTTACAAGGTGGAAATTCCAAGACAGCAATGATTGCTGCCATTAGCCCAGCAGATATTAATTTTGATGAAACTTTGAGTACACTGAGGTAAGTACATAGATAAAATACAGTTTCCCACAAGTACTAAGGCTGGGAAAAATTGAATTGATTCTAATGTGTAAGATAGTGTTAAATGAACTTGTATTTTTAATTATTCTAAATTAACTTGTATTTTTAATTATTCTAAATTAACTTGTATTTTTAATTATTCTAAATTAACTTGTATTTTTAATTATTCTAAATTAACTTGTATTTTTGATTATTCTAAATTAACTTGTATTTTTAATTATTTTAAATTAACTTGTATTTTTTAATAGGTTAAGGGAGGTATAAGTGAAGAATTAGATTAAACATTATTTTCTGAAAATTATTATCAAGAATTATAGTTTAACTTCAAGAATTGATGGCCTGGCATACCCTAGTGGTTAGGACACTGAACTTGTAACCTGCAGATCATGGGTTTAAATCCTGTTGCTGAACCATACTTGCTCTTTTAGCTATGGGAGCATTACGATGCGATGATCAATCCTATATTCCAGACTTAAAAAAATAACACAATAGTTGATGGAGGGTGGTGTCGACTAGCTACCTCCACTGTAGTCTATTATTTCAAAATTAGCATAGATAGCCCTTGGGTAGTTTTGGGTGAAATTCAACAGAAAAAAAAATCAAGAAATGACTCAAGCAGGAAAATGCAGGTTATAAGTATAATACAAAAAAATATTTGATAAGTAAATTTCTTAAAGTAAACTTATTCTAAGATATTTAAAAACCCTTTTACAAACAGTTAAATAATTTAAGTTTTACAGTTTTTGTTTTAGTAATTTTAATAATATTTTCTGATTTCGGTGGAAATTTGAGTAGTTACTGATTTCTCTATTTTAAATGTGTTTTCTTTATTTTTTTTCTTTAACTACAAGATTACAATTTTTTCCTTTAAATAAATGTCTTTAACTTTTGAATAGTTTTTTTCATCAGCTTTTGATTGTTTTTATTGGAAATCTGCCACCAGCATGAGTTCATGTACAACTATATATCATCTATATTTTATTTACCAGGATAGAACAGATTAAAGGTCACAACTTAAAACATCTTCCAAAATAGGATTTAATTAGGACTTTTCTAAATTTTGTGTAACCAGTATTGAAATTTAAAAATGTATCTTCTGATGTATTTTATTAAAATGTCATTACCAAGACATTTTAATTTTTTTTACAGTTCATCTTTTGTTTTGTTTCCCATTGTATGTATTTTGCAAGTTATTGTGACCAACTAAATAAAAGGAAATTTTTAATAAATAACCAATAACAATTATTATCTGTATTTGTACATCAGATATGCTGACCGTGCCAAACAGATTGTCTGTAAGGCAGTTATTAATGAGGATGCTAATGCTAAGCTTATTAGAGAACTGAAGGAAGAAATAGAGCGATTGAAATCAATGTTGCGAACTGAAGGCATTGATATTGATGGTAAGTACCAATTCTTATTATTTTAAAATTACAATCAATTACAAAAAGCTGTTCACAAAAAACAGTAAGACTCTGATTCTCTAAAATCATTAAATTCAATGAGTTATTTACCAGACAGAGGAGAGAATGTTATAAAAATTGTTTTGCACAAAACAGTGCACAAAAACGGTTAGTTGCTCAAAAAAAAAATCATAGATAGAATAACCGTCAATACAATAAACACTTTTGATAATTTCAACTTCACAGAGCTTTGGAAAACTTTAATGACCTAGCAGCTAATCACAGTCTAGTTTATTGTTAGGGACCATTTATTTAGTTTGTAGGTAAAATTAGAGACTTCGATTTGAACCCTATATTCCCTGTGTCACCACTTCAGTGTCAACCAACTCGTGTAAACACATGTAGATATAAAAACGCTATTCAAACTGTACCTGATATTTTTTCAGTGAAACTCCATTGCTGAATTGTTAGAATACATGAATTAACTGTGTGTAAAAACTCTGATGTTGCGTGATCTATATAATATGATTTTTGCATCATTAATAAATCCCAAACTAATATTACAAAAAAACAATAGTTACAAGCTAATAGACCCTGAGTTGTCCATGACTCTGGTTTTTTTCACTACACCTAGTTTTAAAACCTGAACTATCTGAAGAATATACACGTTTTAACTGAATAACCTTAATTTTATGTAAGGTTTATTATGAAAGGTGTTATTTTTAGTAAATGACCCTGATGTGATTGAGAGACCTATTGATTTTAATCAAATTTTTATGAACATTAGACACCTCAACTCTCTTTGCTTATCAATTCGCTGTTTTGTTTAATAAAAAAATATATGTTTCTAAATTATGTTAATAACTATTAACACATACATACAGTATAACATACTTTCAATAAGAAGGCCAAACATTAACTTGTTTTTTTTTGCATCTTTATGTTAACTGAAAACCAACTCTCCCTAAAAAAAAAAAAGGCTGATGTCCCATATTGTATACAAAGTGTACTAAATCACACCAAAATATTATTGTATGATAACGTTCTTAACACCATTTGATGATAACGTGAAGTTCTAGTATCTGATCTTCCAAAAGGTTGGAAAAATTTCATTTTCCACTATTCGTAGGGGCATAGCACTGTGTGGCTCACTTGTGGCCAGTCTGTCAGTTGTATCTGTAGAGTATAAATTGAAATGTATATATGTTTTGATACTAATTAATTGTTTTGTAATTATTCTTGATAGAAAGTATTGATATTGTTTCATATGTTTTCTCTCTGACAACTAAATTGTTTAGTTTGTGGTATATTTATCTTTTGTCATACAGAAATATATATATATGCATTTTTAGGCAGTCAACCTAATTTATGAAAAGAGCAAGCAGAGCTTTGAAAATTACAATAATAATAAGTTTATGTGTTTTTATTTAGGTTTACTTTTAATAATTTTTTAATGCTTGATATACTTAAACTTAACTATTTTTTGTTGCTGTACCAACAGATGTATAAATAAATAGTGATACACTACAAAAAAATGAAAAGAAACAGATGTTAAGTGTGGCTTAAGTTTGTGAAAATTATAAATTTCTCTCAAGTTCATATTTTAGTCTTTTGCAGAAAGTCGTGTCTACGAGGATAGAACACTTATTGTATGTTTATTGCACAAGCACTACCTGTAAAAAATAGAGAAGTATTACTAGGAAGTTCTTTGAGTTAAGAACTCAAAGTGAATTCAAAAATTGAGAGTTTTTTGAATAATTTTAAATCAAACCTTCAAATTAAATGTACCGTAAAATAGGATAGTTTAGTACGATTTCAATTTGGCTAAATTCACGTTTGCAGATACTTCTTTATATTCTTTTAAAAGAATGAATTTGTTTAAAATCTTTACTTGAGGAGTACATGATTTATAATTGAGTGAATTACATTTAAAGCCATGGGCACAAGCCTATGGAAGCGATTAAACAACTAAGAACTTATTCAGTGAACCCTAAAACTGCAAGGGACCATTTCCAAACATATCCCATAATGCTTCAGCTTTGAACCTGTGGCTTTAAAACATGCAGCCAACTGTAAAAAGAAAATATATACAAATACTGATTTTAAAAGCTCATAGGAAAAGAAAAAGAAAATGTACACATATATATATATACATATATATATATATATATATATGAGGATATCATTTTAGAAAAGCTTTTTTTTCAAGATACCGTATATTCGTTACTAGTTTTTATATATCGTTATCTCTGAACTTCCGTTTATAGCTGGCTGCACCTTTCTACTCATCTCTGTTTTTATTTATTATATTTAACTGTTTCTGTGTCTGTAACACTAAATATCCTG